AGGTTTTCTTGAAACGAAAATCAGATGAATTTTTCTTAGAAATTTTTAATAGTTGTTGACGACGCCATTGGAATGTAATTTAATAACTACTTGAAGTGTTTGCTCGGGGATAATACCTGACCTTGGAGGAGAATAATTAAAGGCATAACGGAATTTTTTTTTCTTTTTTTTTGTTTAAAGGAAGGCCTATGACTTTCCTATAATTTTCAGACTTCTTTCTTTTATTATGACTTCAATTTTCTTAATTTTTTCTTTACTATTATTATGGCTAAGTTTTCTTTTTATAGTTTATTCAATTCCTTCTAAATAAAAATTTAAGCCAATAAAAGCAAGATGGAAAACTTATCGGGAACTGCCAGCTATATAGAAAAAACGCACAGTTACGCATTGCCCTATAATAACAACCATGTGCACGTATTGGTTGCCAAGAAATTTGGAGAAAAGCCGCAATTTTGAAATTGCCCAATATCATTCGGAAAGGTAGCGGTACATAGTGTCAAGAAAAATAAGTATGTAGATAGTTCGATCGTATACGTGAGTTGAAAACTCTGAAGTTTTGTGAATATTTTTTGCTTTTAATTAAAAATTATATGTGAAACAATTAAGAAAATTATATTCGATGGTAACTGAATTCTTCACGCATCATTTACAAACAAATTTATTTTTGTTTTGTCGTTCCAAACTATATTTTTCCACTCTCGGGAGAAGCAAAGTTTTTCTTCTTCCGCAAATTAATTGTTCTAAGCAAAGTAACTTCCCGAGCTGTTCTTCTTGGTAAATTGGTACCTAATAAATGTCGACGAACAGTCCGAAGTGATACGATATTCCCATTCCCGCGTTCATAATCACACTCTGGCAGAATTTTTTTGTAAATTCTCTTTTTTTTAACCGTTACATTTTATCAATGCACATATTTTTCTAATTCTTTGTTTAATCTCTTGCTAATTTAAAATACAGAAATATGTGCCAGAGACAGTGGTAGGTAAAACAAGACAGAAAAGTATATTCGCTCGTGACCCAATATTTCGTGCCCATCGCCTTTATCCTAAAAAGGACAAAAAAACTAAAAGAGCTAAATTTTCATGCTCTATGATAAGGAGTAGGCGCGGCTGAGTTTTTCTATTTCCGAAATAAAAGTTTGTGTCGCATAGTGGGGTACATTATAGGCGTGTTCTTGGAAAAGTTTAAGTCACTTTTACAACATTTTTTGCAAATTTGTAGGCGATAGCTTCATTTTCGCTGACGGAAAAATGTTTACCACAAACACTACACAGTTGTGCGGACAGACAGAGGGACGGACGAACATATCAACATGTTTAGGTCCATTCCGAATTTGAAACTGACTAAGAATTTACATAATTTGTGTGGGTTTTAAAGCTTGTTTCTGCTTGTATGAAAAAAAAAAAAATTCCAAACACTATAATATTGGATAGGCCCATTTCCAATACCAACCCGCTTGCAAAAAATTCCAGCGTTTATACCAAATTTATATGAATTGAAGTCAATTGGGGTCAGGAGAGTGTTTACAACATACATTACACACCTGGACAGACGGACATGCTTCAACCAGTTTAGAATTTGATGCTGATCAAGAATATATATGATAACTGGGATCTCTGAAGCTTTCTTCTGATCGTTGCAAGTTTTTTCACAAATGAATATATTCCTTATCCTTCGGCGGAGAAATGGATTTTTCTGAAATTTCCAAATCTATACCTCACTTAAGTACATTTCGCGACATTAGGCAATCAAGGAAGGCTTGATGGACTAGGACAATTGCAGCTGCATAGAGGTTTTATGCTGTTTTCGTGAGACTTTCGAGTGAAGACTTTGTTGCAGATTCATTATGAAAGTGTTTTCCATTCTTGGCGGCAAGATCTAACCAGGGAGAGATTGTTAATTGGCCACACCTGCTTTATTGCATTTTTGATTTTTTTTTTTTGAGTTTTGAAAAAACTAAATGCAACATAAGCGTGTTTTCGATTAAAAAGCTTTAACGAAAAGCTTTCATATTTCTGTAAAGCATTTGCTCTATGTTACTAAATTTTACAAAAAATCGTTTTATTTGCGTGCAATTTTCTTTTCCTTTTTCTTTTTTTCTGTGTGCTTTCAAGAAAAATGGTTTTAAGCAGTTGAGTGAAGTATATCGAAGCAGACGCTCTTTACGTTTCTTATCGAGTAAAGACGGAGTAAGAAGGAAGCGTTAATATTGCGGCTTCTTTTCTTTTAGGGATGGGAATCACGTAAGCGTCCACATTTGTTCACACTTCTCAATAATTGAACATGTGTTTGTTTATTAACAGCTGTCGCATGTATAAAAATTGCGTCCATCTGAGCGCCCAGATTCCACAAAAAAAGTAAATAGACCGCTCAGATTCCGATACAGTATCAACGGAGAGAACGAGCTCTTGGGAGTTTTTTCAAAATTAGAGATATTTATTTACCTCAGGCGTCTACTGAAATACAACAATTTTTCTTTTATTGCTACAGGAGTGACCTGGTTATTAATTGGCATCTAATTTACGCTCCTGAAACTACGCTATCACTGAATTGAAGCATATTTTCTTCAGCATACAATAACATTACAGTTTGCAACAAGTTTTTGAATACAAAACTATCTACAGTGTTTTCTCTGAGGTATATCGGACCGATACCATCCACACAAAAACAGACCCATTATCTGAGATGTAGCAGACCGATAGCCTCCCAAGGAAAAGATTCCCGTACCATTTGATTCCCTCCATCATGATTTAATGTTTTTTAGTAAACCTAATGTGAAATTCTTCTCCTCTTGGTCAAAATACTTTCTTTTATACCCGTTATCCTAAAAAAAAAAAAGGGAAAAGGACAAACTTTTCACACTTTATAACATTTGTGGAGCGGAGGTAAGCTTACCATAAATGCTACAAAGGACAGGTGAACAGAGAAACAGGCGGACATGGTGACGTGTATTTCGAATTTGAAATTGGCCAAGAATATGTGTACCTTATGAGGTTTTGAAGGTTTCTTTCGCGCGTTACAAAATTATCG